CCGGCCCACATCTCACATGTGTAGTACACACCAGGGGTCACGTTAAGGAGCCATTTCAGTCTGATCCTCAGACCGCCACTCCAGAAAAACGCACACGAGGCTGACTGTGAGGTTTGAGTACAATCGTCGATGGTGGACTTCTAAGCCACGGCGCTTAGCATACCGTGAGTCACAGACTCAGGCCACAGATGCAGCAGGGGGATCATAGAGAGGAACCGAGGATCATACTTCCCTCTAACATGGAAGGTGCCGTTGCAACGGTGTGTACATAAATATAGTATCAGGTAATGCAGGGCCTTCGAAAGAGAATGCTGCAGTCGGTGCTACTTACATGCAGGACCGACCATAGCTTCCACCGATAGTAGAGGTGTTCCGGTGTCTGGAAGTCAAAAAGGAACCTACAAGAAGTTGTTGTAACAGGGAGGACTAGAAAGTATACCTGAACTGTGGGTTCTTCTCCTCTCGGTGCATAATAGCTGCCTCAAACTGAGGACCCTCACGGACAACAAATTCGACCATACGATGAATCACAGCAAGCAGAGACCTAAACAAACAAATGAGGTTGGAGGGGATTGATGCAATCTGTGCCCATCTGAACATACCTGTCAGTTGGGACCACGACCTTGACTATTGCCTGTGAGAGCGTCTACAATTAAAAAAACGGTGTGCACGTTAGTTTGCGGGTAGGAAGAGTGAAGGTTGCTGATTTGCACATATCTACTGTGAGCATTTGCTTGCAATCACTAACCTATTTTAGGAAATAACGAACTAAACATTTCATGACCCGACAGAAAAACTGATAACAAGTAATAAAAGCTCGAAGGAGTAAGTGTGTACATCAAGTTAGTGTCTGTAAAAAACACGGAAATGCACAGTAATTATTAAGAACCTGGTTTAGAGGGCCCAAAGGACTGTTACTCAGTTTTCTTCTAGTTTACTGGTATTAACAACGGTATTCAACGTTATTTATCAGATTCTGCCTGGTCGATAAGGACAGTAAAAATTCGCGGGAAAAATGTATACTGCTTAAGTAGTTATTTTTACAGAATATGCTTTTGCGGGCGATCAGACGGGCACAGCTAAACGTCAACATCTTGACGTGACTAAAATATCTTGGGAGTAGACTGCATAATAATCAATAGTACAGTAACTTATTCGAATTGAAAACGCATTTCAGAATTGCGGTTTACATTTCATGATATAAGGAATTTGCTGTAGTTATCAGCGAGCCATGATTTGGGAGGCTATAAACTACCAGAACCCTCGAAAATTCAGGCAAATAAAATTCCTGTTCCAGCAATCGCACTTCCCTTTTCTACAATGGCGTATCGCACTACACCAACATTCAGGTAGTTAGACTATATGCTGTCAGCCGAAGAAGCCTCCTTACATTTCAGCATTCGATGCACATTTCTTTTCTTCCAAAAATGCAAATTTGCATACTTACTACTTGATCTACTTGCTAAGATTATAACGCACTGATCATTGAGGGTTTCGTAGCGTAAGTTGAATTACCTATCTCCGCTCGTCTGGATCTTATCTTGCTATCGGAACAGAGCGGTTGTATAATGACTGAAGTGAGATAGATGCGATGAAAAGAGCGCTTCAGTAGAAACAAAGTCACACACAAATGATAATACTGGGAAGCGGTAGTCATCATCGCTTTCGATGGGGGATACAGGGAATAGAAATCGCCCTCAATGTGTGAGGGTTGGTGGGACACGAAAATTCGTTAGGGCGTTGTCGAACTCAAGTCCCATCAACCACGAAAAAGAAAGCGCGTTCGTGTATGTTCAGAGTACTTTGTTCAAAAACAAAGGCTATTTTTTTCGTTTTTTTTCAACAGAATCACATAACCAGTCCCATTAAGTTTGCAATTAGATGCCCGTCTAACTAACAGGAACAATAAAGAGTCTTTGAAGATTCAGTACGAGACGAACTTTAAAGACCTACCTTATCTAACGCTTCCTTAGACATAGTATGAATGTTGAATGGGGTTCGATCAACAGCCGGAGGGATTGGGGGAACCGATGAGTTTGAATTGCCTTCAGTAACCGATTCGGTAACAAGTTTTGCACGTTCTTTCAATGCCGATCGGACGGATTTCAGCCATTCTCTGGGTTGGGCATTGAAAGGCAGCCCACTCTGCGAAGGAGGTTTGATTAGTTCCAGGAGAGGAGGAGGAATATACACAGGATAAGCTGGGATTGGTACGTTTTTACCCCATCCCAATTTCATCTCATAGCCTAACAGTTCTTTCCCTAGGTGCACGTATAAACAAGTTAGCAGAGAGAGATAGGAATGGGGTAAGGAAAAGGTAGTATGGCAAGGCAGGAATTATGAACATTCTTAACGTACCAAAAGTACAAGAGGATTAATGTTCAGAAAACTAGATAGGCAGATCTAACGATTTCAGGCCTGGAGGTCTACGTATGGCAATTTAAGACACAAATGACTCCACAAGTTGTTCTCTATGTAACTGGTTGAGGTATAAAAGGGTTGCGCGACAACTAACTTGACGCAAGTGTTGGTTTGGTGGAAATATAGCTATTCTATGGAAAGCAGATAGTTGGTCTACTCGGGTATATTCAGTTTTTACTAGCCCTCTGGACTACCGCGTTGTGGCAGGAAGCGTAGTGGTACAATAAAGTTATAAAACACACCAAAAACTCACCTCGAAGACGCTCCATAGCCCGTTCGCTGTCAACTCGGTTCATGAAAGCGACAAATCCACAGTTACGAGCGACGGCACGCTGTTCTTCTGTCCTAGGCCACATTATTTTTACACTGGCTAGAGGACCATATCGGCCGAACACTTCACATAGCTGTTGTTCGGTCATCTAGCAGAGGATGAAACAATGCGGACAGTGGAATTGAGGAAACATACCTGTGGACAGAGGTTTCCCAGAAAAAGATTTGTCGTTGTTCTGTCGACGTCGTAATCGTAAGGATAATCAACTACAATGAAGAGTTAGTACTCCCAGCGAAATGAACGTACGATCTCGCATTCCTCGTCTGCCCAAGGACGGATCCAGCATAGGATCGTCGAAATCATGTTCAGACATGTGAGATTCAGAAAGACGACCCCGAGAACTCGGGATATCGCGGGAGGCATTGGCTGCATTGGCAGATGCACGACTCTGATGCCGCTGCTGGCGCTGTTCCTGGATCCTAGTCAAAGTATGATTGGGTTAGGTTAGGCAGCTTACACTTTGAGTTCTTCCTTGAAAAGTTCCAGGTTTGATTTCTTCTTCACTTGACCAGGCTTCTTCCCCAAAACCTGTTTCGGGTTAAGTAAAAAAGAGGATAGAATGGCTTACAGGTTTTTTCGTGCCTTCAGTTTTGGGCTCCACTAAACCGGTCTCCAAAGTCCTGGATGTCTTATCACCAAACTTCAGAGTTGGCTTGTATAGTACGGGACCGGAACTGTCAATTTTTGATTCTAGAAAGGACTGTTGAGTAAATGAGTATACATTACCGTCACTTCCTGGATTGACTACACCCCCTTTAACCCACGTCCGGTCAACTTTGCTTGGCTGTTCGAAGGTCTCAACGAAAGCCTGAAGGACTTCGGCAGTCTTAGCCTCTTCATCCTAAAGGAACAACAAAAATAACATCTCCCAAATGCTTAGAGGATCGAAAGTCTAGGATATTTCCACGAAAGATATAAAATAATAAAAACAAGCACAGCTTTAAGTACACTGCGTTCGGGAACTTGTATGATCAGCTTTACGGCGTTCAACCGCCAATGTGGCATGTTACAGGTTAGCCGTTGAATACAGGGGGATTGGGTCAAATGGACATGAGACTGGCATATGGGCTTAGAAGCTTTTCAGCATCATTCGTCCATGCTTTTGGTTAGCGTGGAAAGAAACTAGCGTCCGGTTCGAAAGTCACAGCTCCCAAATCACCCGTTGGGCTCTGTTAGTCTGCCTGTTCCTTAGAAACCTGATCGAGTCTCAACTTGTCCTTTTAGTGGAAGTCAG